CTAACAAAAGCAACTAAAGCTATGTCTGACCTGGTCTCCTGGGCCCCTTGCTGAGAAGGGGTGTGTGTAGTGGTGATGGTGGCAATCTTCTCTGCATTGGTCAGCAAAGTAGCATTCGAAGACTCTGTAGGGAGAGACAGAGCGTGACAGAATGAGGGCCCCGGAGAAGAGATCATCAAACCAGGAGGGATGCAGAAGTGCCATATGTGAATGACAAGTCTAGTTTCTCTGTCACTGTTTGAAGCCGTTCTGACACGAACTTCTAAACAATGAAGACTTAAAAGAACCATTCTAAGATCTTCTGTGATACGAGGCATGTATGACCCCATTACCCTCCTCCCAAGTGATATCCCCACAGATGAACTACAGTTTGCCCCACAACATGCTACTCTAGAACTGTAGCCAAGGGAGGTGTCTCTCCCCCTCTCCCTCCCTCCCTGACACTTAAAAAATGGCAGTCCCGTCAAAACATTGCACACGGGCGCTGCTCTTCTCCCCAGAATGTTACAGGCCAATGTTTCCTGCAACTTACCAGCAATATTTAGTGAGTCTGCTTTATTTCCTCAGATGAATATTAAAATCAGAAGTGTGCTAACATCTTGTTAACTACACGCACACACAACATCTACCTTCTTCCCCATTGCTTTTAATGAAGAACAACTGAAAATATGGAGTTCTTCACAGATCTCCTCTGGTATCACTGACGAGAGATTAATTTCTAAACTTGCATTAGTTAGAGCCAGAGTTTGTAAATGTAAGTTGTATAAAGCATGAAGCCACCCTAATGTAATGAGCATGCCCTACAGATGGCAAACCAACATGCATATATTAAAATGTAATCACTTATCTAGGAATGGTTATATAGTCTCTTACTAATTATTTCCCCATTAAGATCAAGGCAGATAACAAGCAGCTATGAGGAAGTTGCTCTTTTAATATTTATTTTTTAGGTTGACTATCTGGAACTTGGCATACATTTTCTCATCAAGAAAATACTAAATGTGGTCATTAGGTTCTAAGATTAGCCTATGAATGCCTATTTAATTCATAGTGTGCAATGAAGTCTACAAGCTTCTAGGAGTCCTGTGGTTCATAGTAGGCATCCTAATGCTTGCAGATTACATATATCCATCCATAATGTATAACAAAGTTTCTATGCGAAAATGTGTTAAGTAGTCCCACCTGGGATACCTGGACTACATCTCTTCTCCACTGTAGTCCTGGGTGACAGGACATCCCAGAAATCCCAATTACTTGTGGTCTGTCTCCCATTTTAATTTCCTAAGGATATTAATTCAGCTTGGGTCTGGCTTCCTATTATTTTATTTCATTACACAGTTAAAATCACAGGCTTGAGATCCAATCCCCCTTCCCCTACTCATTAGCTGTATGCCTTATTTCCCTCATCTGATAGAAGGGGATGATAACGTAACTCTGCTCTTTGATAAAAGTATATGAAAAGCTTGGGGGGTGGGGGGATGGGTTAGCCTGGTGATGGGTATTAAAGAGGGCACATACTACATGGAACACTGGGTCATGGAACACTACATCAAAAACTAATGATGTAATATATGGTGATTAACATAATAAAAAAACAAAACAAAAGAAAAAAGTATATGGAAAGCTTAGTAGAGTACCTGACATACAGTAAGCACCCAATACACCTTTATTGTAGCTATGGACCTTGCTACCACTTCTACTTTTGACTTATTATCATGGGAACTTAAACTCTCTGCAAAATGAAGAAGTTGGAATTATGATTTTAACAGTCTGTATTCCACCTATAAAGCCCATGATGCTGAGAGCTAAGGCACAAGTTTAATAAGAAAATGTACCTAGATCAAGTAAACTGTAAAGTGAATCCAATTCATCTTTTAGGACAAGCTTCCCATTGTCTGTTTAAACCTACAGATTCTGAGGGAGAGGAACCTGTGGTCAATTAAGGATGAGAAATAATGGGTGAAACAGAGGGAAGTGTTTTTGTGTGTCTGTATTTTGTTTTACCTCTGAGCGTCCTCAGAGCCTTTACTATGCCAATATACCTTGCAACCCCTGGGCTGGGGAGGTGGTGCTTCTCAGGCTTTACGGGAGGCAGCTTAGCATAAAGTCCTATTAGGAGGTCAGATTCCAGGCTCAGAATGTCTGGCTATGTGCACCCCCCAGCTCCGCAATTGCCTGGCTGGGACTTAGGCAAAGTCACTAAAACTTTCTACGCATCAGTTTTCTCTTTTGTACATGCGGGACAACAGGTGTATCTAAGAAAATTCATGTAAAGATTATCTCAGAGCAAAGTGTTTGGGATAGTGCCTGGCACATAAAAACCATACAAAAGATGATTAGCACATTTTTTATTGGGAGCATGTGCTGATTACTGTTATCACAATATTAAAACCATATTATTAGTACATTTTTGTGAGTGTAGTTAACTGGCACAACCAAGGTGATAAATCTATGTGATTTTCCATAAAGTACACCCACTGTGTCAGAACAACGGACTAAGAGACTGCACTGCCTATCGATACGATTCACCAGAAGTTTCATCAACCCATGTATTGGTCCTTTAAAAAAAATTCATATTGCTCACTGTAATTACTTTTATAGAGACTCTCTGGGAAATCATAAGATTGTTCGGGCCATGGGGAAATCATAATCAGGATACCAAAAAGAACGTTTCCTTGTAATTAAAATGATTATAATTACTGAATTGTGCAGGAGTTCCCCTTTTGAGTTCTTGTGTGTTTTCGGTAGCCAGGGTTTTTCAAGGCAGATCAGATCTCATTCTGAAACAGTTTTTTTTTTAAATTTCTGCGCTTCCATGATTTGATGAGATATGACAGATAATCACTCAATACACATATAAATAGAATTCTTTTATTGATCTGCCTCTTATCCTTCATTTGCTATTTTCTACATATTTACATGCAAATCTGTTTTGGATTGAAGATTAACTTTAAGCATTTAAAAAATTAACATTTATATGCAAATGATTATTTGAGCTCACTGAATTTTCCTCCTATCCCTGTATTTCTTAATCTATGAACAACCACCATTTCTTGATTATTCACAAAGTGCCAAGCTTTGTGCTAAGTGCATTTCCACATGCACTATTTAATTCTTACAACTCAATGAAATTGATGCAATTATTCTCCCACTTTACAGATGGAGACATTTAGGCTAAGGAAAGGCAGGTAACATGTCCAAAGTCATCCAGAGTCTTATTTCCATTTACAAGGGAATTATGTGTTGGCATCAAGGAAATCATATCTAATTGGTGTGTTCCTTTCAAATAAGCAGTGCCTTTATTTTACTACATAAATACCACCAACTATCATAGCTTAATTAAAAAGCAAAATACCCTGCTTTGACTCTAGATTTCATGAGCCATCTTCTAAGCACTTAAATAATTTTCAGCATACCCTGGATTTCCAGGATGCTTTTTAAGTATCAATGAAGTTATACTTATTTTATTAAACTTTTAAGTCTTCATTTAGAATTAAACCAAGACTTTATGTGTTGAAATTCTCTCTAGCTTTTTAAAATACAGACATGAAGGCCATTATCACAAATCTATAGCTTCATCCTAAAATAAAACTTGCCTCATATAACAAGGGCCTGATAAAAGAGCCTACTCCAGCACAGTATTATGAATGAATGTCAATGTATTTGACTTTTAAAACTCAAAGACAGGTGGACAGATTGGCTATTTTTATGATAAATTCCAGAAAGTATCCTACATCCTTTATTAAACAGTGTTTACACCAACTTTAGCTCTCCCAGAGGAATGAAAATGGATATTACTACACTTTCCATAGCAATCGTGTCCCACGCAAAGCGTATCCTGGCTCTCAAGGTACTGTCACTGTGCGGTATTAAATCAGGGCACTAACTTCTGACAGGAGCTTCTACCCTTGGTTTCAATAGCTCCGTGGCAAGTGATTACAATTCCAACCTAGCCCTCATGTTAATACCTTTAGCATCCCTTCCGGAATCCACACTACAAAGCCAAACAAATCAACACAGGATACAATCATTCCTTCCATAAATATTTGAATGCATAAACACACATGTAATAGATATCTAAAGGAAGTGTTTGAAAATTTGAATGCCATAAATATTCGAAACTTTGGGAGACTTAAAATGTATTATGGTTGCAACCCTGTTCCTTTTGCCCTATCCCTCTGCTAGCTATCCTATCCACAGAGCCTTCTATTAAAATATTTATACTATTCTACGCCTTTGCCAAGGAAATAGCAATGTCTGGGTTGCCCTTACCTACCATATAACAAATACTTTGAATCAGAGTGATCTGAAGTACAAATTTAAGACTTAAGTAACTTATTTTTAAGTTTATAAATATTTTCATTATCTAGAACTTGATTCATACTGACGGTTCTGTGTCAGTCTGAATAAGCCAAGGGTCTGCCTTGTCTGATTAAAGTCTCATTCCCACCCAGATTTCACAGACTATTTCTATAGAAGGCAAGTGGTAGGAAACATGTGTGTCTGACTTGTCAAATTTCAAGTTCAGATTCAGTATGTTTGGCTATTCTCTGGGCCTTTCTGTGCTGCCCTTACGTATTTATTATGCTTTGCCCACATCTCATGGGAGAAAATGTTCTGCCCCCAATGCACCTCCCACTCTAGTCCCAAAGATAGTAAAAGCAGAGATGGAGAGGACCCCCTGATCGAGGCCTGTCCAAGATCTGTGAAGGCAGGCCTTCTAGGAACAGAGTAAGCCACATAAAGGAAAGTCATGTTTCCTAGTCTTGGTTGAAGGGAGCTAATGGGGAGCCAGGGAGGGCACAGAAAAATGGAGAAGCAGAGTTAGGGAAAGTACAGAGATAAGTAAGTTGGAGAAAGTACCAGGTGAGCAATGACAAGAAAAAAGAATCAGGCAGCAGGAGCTAGGGAAAGAAGTGGATCCTGAGTGGGTTCCGAGCACTGCCCGAAAAAGAGCGCGTTTTCCCATCTCCTTGAAGTGCCTCCTAGGGTTTCTGAAAACAGTACTCTGGATAACATGGGTTTCTAAGAACTTCAGTCTCCTCGCAAGGACCACAACACAAACACTGTCTTTGGGCTACTTGATGAATTAACCATTCGTGTGAAAGGTTTGAAGGAGAGCAGAGGTCCCTAACACACACTCCCTTTTATTCTACAGTTCTCCACGTCTAACACACCTTCGCAGAGAGCAAGTGATCTGTCATGTGTCTCTCTTCATCAGACCTTCATTAATGGCCACTCTGTCTTCTAGGTGTTTGCAAACTTCTCTTGGATTGTTCCAACAGCTCTCCAGAAATCCGACTCCCCTGCCTCAATTTTAATTTCCAAGATGGCCATTTTTGGCCCCACTAAAAAGATGAGCATCAGAAATTCACCCTCTGTCAGAAGTGATTTCCTTTACCTGGATTCCGAAATTTACAAAGTAATTGATGAAGAGTTTTATTATCATGGCAATGAACTACTGCAGTACCTTGGGATGAAATCATATCCTGGGCAGCACATCGGTCCTCAACTACATTGAATCAGCTGTCGTGTTTACTTTCTTCTAGCCAAGAGAGTATGTGATATGTCTACCTGAATTTTATATTTTCTAAGTACTGAAGTTTAAAAATTGCCTTTTTATTGACAACTGCTACTGGGTAATTCACCTTGCACTGCATATTTTAGTGTTCAGATTTTCTAAAACTTTTCCATTGCACTTTATTAAGTCAATACCTAGTATGTGCATGGTAGCATAAGTTGGATTCTGCATATTTGTATCTTTCCTGATTTCAAACTCTTTTTCTAAGCCCTTCCCTCAAGGAATACATTCTTTCCTTCCTTCCATCTTTGGACATTATCCTTCCCACATTAAGACTGACCAATATAGACATAGCAAGTCAATGCCTGTGTTGCCTTCTTCTGGATTAGTTTTTTGAAATCTCTTTACAGCATGTAGATAGATGTGTCTAAATTTATATACCACATTTGGCTCTCTCAACCACTTCTCACTTAATTTTTCTGGCTTCCTTCATCCTTTCCATTAGGAACCTATGTTCTATCATCCTGTGATCACATTCCTAAATTGTAATTTGCCTTCCAGAGTGGTGAGCTGGTGGAATGGACTCCAAACCACATGGTAAATTACTAACCATGCATCTGAGGCAGGGTGAAGTAGACCAGCAATCAAGGAGCTCTTTTTTCCTCCACATTTGGTATGGGGTATTTTTGGCTCAGAGAAAATTCTCTGGTTTTGGAACCGACAATTTTCAAGTATTTATTGTTTGGTTTACGATTTATTTTTTTTCCGAGAGGCACAGTTTATACCACTTGAATTTGAAACTAATAGGGATCACTTTCTAACAATTATAAAAAATATTCATTTGGTGAATTACTTTCAGATAAAATCTCTGATTTTCTATTTTACAGATCAAGGACATAGAATTTTTTTTTTTTTTTAAGATTTTATTTATTTATTTGAGGGAGACACAGAGCAAGCACGAGCGAGGGGGAGGAGCAGAGGGAGAGGGAGGAGCCAACTCCCTGCTGAGCAGGGAGCCTGATGCGGGGCTCCATCCCAGGACTCCGGGATCATGACCTGAGCCGAAGGCAGACATCTAACTGACTGAGCCACCCAGGCGCCCCAGGGACATAGAATTTTTATCACACTATCTCGTTAAACCACATTTTCTTCCTGAGAAATACTGACTTCGAGAATATGTATTTTATTTTATAACATGTATAGTTAAACAAAAAAGACATTGAAACATGTGAGACAAGTATCGCTTTCCTCCTGAAGGCAAAGTCTGCTTAACATGAAGTCAGTATTCAGGACTTAATTCTCTGAAGAATCTATACTTCGTGACATCAGTGTATCAACTTCATTTTTATTAAATATGAATAATGAGTGGGGCACTTGGGTGGCTCACTCAGTTAAGCATCAGCTCTTTATTTTGGCTCAGGTCATGATCTCAAGATTGTGAGATCGAATCCTGTTTTAGCTCCGTGCTCAGCGCAGTCTACTTGAGATTCTCTCTCTCCCTCTCCTTCGGACGCTTGCTCCTCCCATGCACTCTTGCACTCGCTCCCTCTAAAATAAATAAATCTTAAAAAAGATATGAATAATGAATATTGATATTTTCTGCTGTATAACTTTACATTGTGGGGGGCTATCCTGTATACTGTAGGAGGTTTGGAAGCATCCCTGGCCTTTACCTACTAAATGCCATTAGCACCCACCCCAGACAAGGCCAAATGTCCCCTAGGGGGCAGAATCACCAATGGTGTAAAAGAAACAAGATTTGAATTTAACCAATCAAATAATCAAGCAAACTAACAAACAAGAATAGGCCTAGTTTAATGTAGATATAACCTATCAAAAAAGAGGTTTTATTCTTTCTCCATCCACATGCAAAAATTAGACAAACCAAGTAAGCACAAACCCTAAGGATCTCTTATTCAACAAAAACCTTTCATATATTCACTTATTCTGAAAAAAAAAAAAAAAGTATTGGCTCTGAATTGTCATTATGTAGGTTTTGTGATGTTACCATATCATAGTTAAAATTATTAATTTAATTTAATTTTATTTTAAGTAGGCTCCATACCCAAGGTAAGGCTTGAACTCACGACCCTGAGATCAAGAGTCGCATGCTCTACTGACTGAGCCAGCCAGGCACCCAACATACAGTTAAATTTTAGCGATTTAAAAAAAAAAAATAATCATTTCCAGATAGAACATCAGAGGATCTTATACCACCTGTATTCAAACCACTCTATCATTGTAAGCACAAGGGTACAAAAACCAAAATAAAATGGGGAAAGTTAAGATTTTCTGTAATGTTTGTATCTGCAGCAAGACAGGGTCACAGGGAAAGAGGATTACGTAAAGGGGAGGGGGGAGGTAAGGGTTAGTAACGACGGCTTACAACCACAGGATGGGTATGCTCAGTTAGGGATGGGTAAGCCTGCCTCTAAATCAACACTCTTCAGTGACATGGATCCTGATGAGAGGGAGACAGAGAAAGAAAGAGAGGCCCAGGAAGAGCTCAAGAGAGAATGAGAGACACAAGAGTTATACTTTACCATCCCCAGGAATGATGCGGAGGGTAACTGTGTTTCCTGCTTCCTTGATTAGGTTGACAATGTCTGAATGGGACTTGTTGGTGATGGAACATCCATTCACTGCCAGGATCCGGTCTCCCACTTTCAGCTTGCCACATCGGTCAGCAGGACTCCCCTCAATAATCCGACCTATTTTGTGAGGCATAGCCACACATGCATTGCCTGCTTTGATATTGAGGTTTTTTGTTTTTTTTTTAAGTTACGTGGGAATATAGCGAAGGGAGGAGAAAAAGGGTTGAAAAGGGAAAGAGAAGGTTAAGTGTTAATTAAGTAAAGCATTAAGCAAATGTTATTAAAGGAGAGCTCTGTGCCGATGGTCAAAACATTGGCAACACTCAGGGCCTGTGGGGGGGGGTGCTGCTCCTCGCTGCGCTCCCTGCCCCCCTTCCAAACGTGGGGAAAACCCCAGCTTCCTTCCTTCGATCACTGACACAATTTGTGATACCTAGCAACTTCAGAGGTTCTCAACAGCCCCAAAATAACTCGCTGTTGGCTTATTTTGGGTCTGCAAATGTGAAGCTCAGAGCTGGGGTGGATGTTCTTCCACATTCTGTGCTCGCATCCCTTCATTTTTGCCAGATGCTGTTCAAGCTTTTGCCAATGTTTTGTTCTTTCTCTAGAAAAAAGAATCACTAGGCGTCTGGTGAGGCGGGAGAGTCTGCTACCGCCAAAATTCCCTCTGAAAACACCTAATGAACAAGCACTTAGTCTTGCTGCCTTCTCCCCAGAATGACGAAAGCTTTAGGAAAAAGGCATAATTACAAGACGGGGGCGAACAAAGCCACCCAACCTTGACCCCTATTTTTCCTTTTATGACCTTTTCCTGATTCAGCCTATTGCCTATGCTTTCAGGGTAGGGCCCCGGTGGCTCATTAACTCTGAAATCCTCCTTCCTCACAAAAAATCCCCTCAAAGGACTCTGAAAACCTGGCATCTACTCAGGCTAAGAACAGTGATCCAAAGCCAGGTTCAAATCCTTCCTCAACCCTTTGGAAACTTTGATCGTTTCCTTCCTCATGATCAGTTACTGCACATCTACAATATGAAAACCAGGAAAGGTGCATGTGAAGAGGAAAGCTTTTTGTGCACTTTGAGGCACCCGCCCCCCATGTCATGACCATGAGTACTGCTAACTTCTAGAAAGGGGTGGGAGATTGGCTTTGAGTCCTGACATATGGTCTGCAGCTAAATGCGTATTTACCTATTCTGCGAATTCATCTTTCTGAGGACTGTGAAGCTAGTTAGGCAGGTGAGTCGCCTTTTGGAAAGGGTGATAAAATGAACGTGGGAGACACTGAAACTGAGTAGGCGCTTCTGTCATAATTTGGACCTTGAGGATAAAATGTGAGGGGAAAGACATTATAATTTCTTTGAATCTTGGCGTATTTGCCTGAGTGTGTATCATTGCATGTAAGGTCAAGGCCACAGAATCTTTAAAAAGGAAGCAAACGGTCTCTTGGAACCCAAAAGGCAGGTTGGGTAGGCTTCCATACTCAACTTCAAGGTCCGGATTAAGTTTAGCCCCACTCTGGGGACAACTCACATGAGAAAGGTATCAAACAGCAGGTGTGAGGAAAGCTCTGCACAGTTGGAAACAGAAGTCTCATGCAAGGTATTAGGGAAAGTTGAATTTGTTTATTGTAAGAAGAGCCAGAGGAAAACAAAGACCAAATTGTGAGAAGACATTCAGTATTCATTAAATAACACATAGCCTCCCACCTGACATATCTATCTCATTGTAAAAAGTGAAACTGACAATTCCGAAATCCTGAGAACATCAGGAGGTGCATGGGGACAATCAAATTGTAGATCTGAAGAAAGCAATGGGAATTCTTCCTCCCTTTGCCTTTCTTTAGATTTTTAAATTAAGTAGAAAAGTCCCCCAAATCAATTTACAAACAAAACCCCAAAAACCTTGCCTTGGCGTCCAGTCATCCATTCATGACATGCTGTGATAACTTTATTAATGTAGCTCCCAAAAGCACTGTTAGTAACGGGCATTTGTTACTGCAGCCACACATGCATAGACCTGACTGACTCAGTCTCCTAAGGAACAGACCTCAGGGGAAATGGCTTTAGCAGGAAGCAACGTACAAAGGCAAAGGGAGTTCTACCGGATCAGAAAGCTGAAGGGATGGAGCACCTCGCCTGATCTTAGCCAGCAGTGACCTGGGCCACAGGTCATTAGACTCTTTTGGACAAGTCATGTGGGGATAGAAATGCGTAAATTTCAAAGCCTGCATAGCCCTTCCCCATCTCCCATCCTATTCCGTATTAATGAACAAATGTGCTTGGGGGATTAACAGGTGACTTTTTAATCTAACGAAGAAGATGGATGATTTTTGGAGTATATTTTTATAATCCATTCTAACAGGAAATAGATTCACAGATTACTAGGTTCTTGGAATCATGTGGGTCCTGTTTGTCTCTGCTAGTACACCCATCAGTTAACCTTCTGAGAGGGTGACAATTGGGTTTCTCCACACTCTGCTGAAACCCCCAACATTCGGATGAGACGGGACAATCAGCCCTGCTGGGATTCAAGGGCCGTGAAGACAAATGGCTCTGAACTCAGATCTTAACTAGATTCTTAAGCAGACAATGGTAAAAATATTATTTAACATTTAAAAATTTCCGATGGGGTTAGAGTAGAGAAAGGACACAGATAAACTGGACCAGGCACTTCACATGATTGTTTACTCTTTACACTTGTATTGTTTCCTAGGCATTTTTACCACCATAAGCTTACTCCAAAACCTCCTCCACCTGGTGAGGCTTCTGCTCTTCATATCCTACTCAGGACCTCACAAAGGCATCCTTTGCCAAGGACTGCTCACTCTACACTGTCAAGGGGTCGCTAATCAAATTTCATGCAAATTCCATTTATGCTCGAAGTTGTGTGCACGTGAACACGCATTCTGAATGGGAGCTGAAAGGTTAAAAAAAAAAAATTCCAACCTTCAGGAAGGGAAAAGCTACCGAACACACACTCCATCCCCAATTAAGACTTTAATGACCTGCAGCGAAAAGCATGAAGGCATTTCCGTTACTGAGAATTTGGCCATCTCGCCCTTGCAACCCAGCACGCTCGCCACCGGTGTCCCGGGAAGGTGCGGGGGAGCGGGCGGGACACTCACCGAAAGTCGTGCCAGCCTCGGGCCTGCTCACCGAGGACACAATGACGAAGCCAAAGCCTTCGTTCTCGCCGCGCCGGATCTCCACATCGTAGGGCTGCACGGCAGCGCTGACCACGCCGCTTCCGCCGCCGCCGCCGCTGCCGATCCCGCTGGTGCTGCCGCTGCCCGAGCTCACCGTGTTCAGGGAGTTCTGGCTGCCCTGCGGGGTGCGCTTCTCCTCGGTCAGCGACGCCGGCTGGTTGCTGCTGTGATGGGAGGAGGCCGGCGACGGCACCTCGTTATCGGCTTTGGGGGCTGCAGGAGAGAGAGAGAGAGAGAGAGAGAGAAAGAGACGGAGGCCCGGCTCAGCCACCCCGCTGCTCTGCCCCCCCGCCGCCGGCGCCACAGTGTGCAACGAGACCCCAGCCCCTCGTCCCGCACGTAGCTCCTGTCCCGCAGCTCCTGCCAGGAGCCCACAGGTGACACCCCGGGGGACAAAAGCCTACTGAATATGGGCATCCGCTCTCAGGCTCCAGGCGGCTGCAAGAGGGGCCCTCTGAACTGCCTCCCGCGCACGAATCACAGGAACGTGAGCAGAAGCGCAGGTGTGGTCCGCACCCACAAGGACCCCCACTTTTACAGCAGAGACCTAAGCGCACGTTCACCTTGTCATTACCCTCAAGAGTCACACTTCTGCTCAGCTTGCCAAGCAGCGTTGCTTTCCATTTTTCCATCAGGCCGGACTGTGCACGTTGACTTTACCATTAAAGTTACCCTATTGTGGGATTCTTGACAACACCCGTCAGAGGTATAGTTAGTTTCTCTTCCTACTTTCCAGATGTCATTGTCTACTCTGATCACACTCCTGGGTATGTCAGCCTTCCTCAGAGTTCCAGTTTTATTGCTTCAGCAGGTGACAGGATAAAGCACACCAAAATTGCCAAAATAATAAGCAAGAGTGACCCAGGTTTGATGCTACAAACAAAATGCGTGTTCGGGTTTTGTGTAAGACATTTATTCTTGAAGTTCTCCCTTCATATATGTCTTTTTATTGTGGTAAAATATATATAATATCAAATTTACCATCTTAACCATTTTTAAGTGTGTAGTTCAGTGGCATTAAGTCCAATCACAGCAACGTGCAACCATCAACACCATCCATCTCCAGAACATCTTCATCTTCCAAAACTGAAGCTCTGTACCTATTAAACACTAATGAACCATTTTTCGCTCACCCAGCCCCTGGCAACCACCATTCCGCTTTCTGTCTCTATGAATCTGACTACTCTTGGTCTGTCATATAAGTGGATTCATACCATGTTTGCCCTTTTGTGACCAGCTTATTGCACTCAGTCTAATGTCTCTTACAGATTTAACATGTCTTTGACTCAGAGCTAAAACCCCCAAATATTTAATATTTAAAAAATAAATCTGGAACAAACAAAAATCACATTACTCTATTATTTTTATTTGGGTCAGTGAAATCAAACGTTTTCAACCCATCTCAAAAGCCATTTCTAACTGACTGCTACTGACTGCATGGAGTACCATTTTAAGAAATATTCTGAGGCCATCAGTGAGCTCTCTGGGCATAATCCATGACTGATTAACACCGTTTTCCACAGTTTCAGTAAGGTAGGAGTCTCACACTGGAATCTGATATCTTAATTCTATAATTAATTAATTATATAATCGATATAAGTGAGCTATACAATTTTTTTTAAACAAAGGGCCAGTTAATTTCATTTGGTAAGTATCTGTTTCACAAATACTAAAGTGTTGAAGAAAAGATATTTCATTTCATATTTCTTCAGTAATTCAAGTGATATAACAATCTGCTTTTTCTGCATTCTGTCTTGACTATTTCAAGGTGGGGGCTGCAGACACAGTGAACATCCCATGTGGTGTGTGCTTTCAAGACGTTGGCGAGTGAATGGGAAGGAGACAGTTACACAACGAGCCGTCTCAAAATGGCAGATTCTGATACAAAAGTAAACCAGGATTCACAAAAATGGCAAGGGAGGAATGCCAAAATTGGAAGGGAGTTGGAAGAAGGAGGGAATTTCTTTTCTTTTTTTTTTTTTTTTAAAGATT